ATCATTTTATTAAACACAAAATCTTGCGTTATATGTGCATCATGCATATAAGTTTTAAAACTTGAGCCATGCATCTTAAATGTTTAACTTACTCTGCTAAAAAGATTCATACCCGCACAAGGTGCGGATCAATCATCTAGTTTGAAATTGTTAGTAAATATAATTATTGTTAATCTTAGTTTTACCTGAAATTTGAATTTGAAATTGTTAGTAAATGGGGAATCGATTTGGGGAACTTTGGTAAATTTTCTCAGTTGACTTTCTCCAATCGCCGAAAGCTGGTGAGTATTTATTTTCTTCTCTCGTTGTATTTGAATTTAGCACATATATGTTTAGAAATGGAATGTGTTTCACGATCTGTTGATTATAAATTCTAGTTTATGGGCAACTCTATAAATGATATCATTGAGTTCTTTCTAATCGTAAGACAATGATTATAGCTTGATCTCTTTCTAACAGATGTACGTTTATCTCTAAAGTATTAAAACTTATAAGAACTCTTCATGCGTTAATTTCATGTCCCTTACATGCGGCGGTTGATTAATTGTTTTTAATTTTTTGTTTTTTAAATTTATTATTACGAAACCGGTTACATGCCATGAAGTTAGTCATACCGTTTATAAAAGCCGATAACAAGTCGAAAGAGAAGGGAACATAGTGCTTAGAATGATAATACCTTTAGCTCTGTCCACCTTGGTTTCCGCGTCCACGTCCACGTCCCATAGACTGACTAAGTATCTCTTTAGCCTTTGCTGATAGTTTTACAGGTCTTTCTCGGAGGATTCGCTTTCCTGAAGGTGTCATAAGTTCCATCGAATCCATTTCTATGTCCTATTCGGATGAATCTTCATCTTCTTCCAAAGAGATCAACGAGGCAAACTTGTTAGAACCTAAGTCGGGCTCGACTATTCTACTATTTTAACTGAATTTGCTTCAGCATTTGTGGTAGCCGTTACTGATAATTTCCTAACATACTCCAAAATAGGAGACTCAATAGTTTCATTGATGGTAATCATGGTAGGAGCGGATAGAGCATACATATTTTCAAGAATCGAGATTATAGCTAATTAAATATCATCAATTGTTTTTATCTGATGATTATATATTTATTTCAAGTAGTGCGTTTTGTGTTACCAGAGAGTATGTATAAAGAAATTCCTTAGGATACCACATTTTGAAATTGTATTTCCAAAAGTACCAAAATTTTTCAAATGTTCTAAAAATAACATCATTTCACAAATACCACAAATATAAAATTAAGTTTTAAGACTTTATAGTTTAATTTTTTTTTATTTTGGTTAACTACTGTAAAATTAGGCCAGTATAGTTTTATGGGATAGAGTTTGTTTTGAATTTTGAAATTAACTTTAGTTTTGTGGTATTTAATTTGCGAAACATTTGAAAAATGGTAGGATTTGTTGGACATTTGAAAAAAGGTGTTACTGTTGGAAGAAAAACTTTATTAGTGGTATTTGTAAAAATTGCCCGTATAGTTTTCAAAGAATCAAACATAGTTAATATCGCACAGTTGGATTTACACGATCTTGTATTCAAATTGAAGCCAACTCCTGTATCTGATTGAAACTTTCATTTCTTTTAGCCATAATCAATAATACAAATACTTCTTAATACGTATTTCGTTTTAAGAAAGAAAAATTTACTCCATGATCCATATTATATAATCAAGTTAAAGTCTACCAATGTTTCTTTTATATTTAAGTTACGACGTAAACCAAGTTCTTCATATCCTAATCAAATACTTATTTCTCAATCATATTCGAGTAATTAAGACAGTAGAGAATATTGAATTCTAAAGTTTTCACGGTTCTATTTTTGATATGTTGCGTTTACATAAATAAAATATTAGAAAAATGGGTTCCAAAAAAGTAAATACTTGCTTATAGGTCACATTTTAACGAAAACAACTCACTAGTACAACTTCCTTTTAAATCAACCCCATTTGAGAAAATCTTAAAGCATCCCTTAAATATATGTTGAATGTTTGTTAAATATAACAAAATAAATATGAAGTCCACAAGCTGATAGACTATGAAATGCACAAAGAATCATGGTAGTTCCTCCTGTATATGAAGTCCACAAGCTGATAGACTATGAAATGCTACCTCATCGAGTTAAAGCTGTTGCCTGTAATACACATCGGAATAGGATGGGAGCACCCAATGATATTGAGATCTTTGCTGTAGCCTGTGAGACAAGGGTTTACTGTTTTGAGGTTCCTAGTGGAAAAGTACCTAGAGTGGAGTTCGAAGTGTTCATAGACAATAATATATTTTATTCGGATCAAGTAAGATATTTATTCCTTTATACTCGATCTACGATATAATTACTTTTGTAGATGTTATCCTTATTTGTTTTGTGCTTTCGTATTTTATTGAAACAGTTCAACGATGAGTTTGGTGTGGTAGAGTGGGGATGTATACACGAACGAAGGGATCCTTATTATATCCTTGTTGCAGGTAGCTTAGGCATAATCCGAGTAATCAATGCTCGGAATTTCTCTTTACTTAAGGTAAAAATAAATTGTTTTTTTTCACAATACTTTAACATACTTGTTTTATCAATTTCAAGAGTCTGGAGTGACATAAAATCTTGTTTTATCAATTTCTAGAGCTTGAAAGGACATACTCATAGGGTTACTGATATAAAAACTGAGAGGAATGAGGCTTCACTTTTTTGTAGTGCAAGCGAGGTAAATAA